CGAGGAGCTGCAGGTGTTGCAGTTCGAGGTGCGCGCGGTGGACGCGGGGGAGCCGGCGCTGAGCGGCAACGCCACGGTGCAGCTGTTCGTGCTGGACGAGAACGACAACGCGCCGGCGCTGCTGCCGGCCGCGGGCTCGGCAGCGGAGGCGGCGGCGGCGGCGCTGGCGGGGGCGGGCTCGGAGTCGGGCACGCTGTGGGCGTGGGCGGCGTGGGGGGCGCCGGCGGGGCAGGTGGTGGCCAAGATCCGCGCCGTGGACGCCGACTCGGGCTACAACGCGTGGCTGCGCTACGAGCTGTTGGAGCCGCGGGGCAAGGGCCCGTTCCGCGTGGGGCTCTACAGCGGCGAGGTGAGCACGGCGCGGGCGCTGGACGAGGCGGACGGGCCTCGCCAGAGGCTGCTGATCGTCGTGCGCGACCACGGCGAGCCGGCGCGCTCGGCCACGGCCACGCTCAGCGTGTCGCTGCTCGAGGCCGCCGAGGCGGCGCTGGCCGCGGGCTCCTCGGCGGCGTCGTCGTCGTCGTCGGTGTCGCGCTCGGCGGCGGGCGCGGAGCTGGGGCCCGGCGCGGCGAGCGCGGCCACCAACGTGTGGCTGGTGGTGGCCATCTGCGCCGTGTCCAGCCTCTTCCTGCTGGCCGTGGTGCTGTACGGGGCGTCGCGCTGGGCGCCGCGGGCGGCCGTGCTCTCGGGGCCCGGGCCCACGACGCTCGTGTGCGCCAGCGAAGTGGGCAGCTGGTCCTACTCGCAGCGCCACAGCCGCAGCCTGTGCGTGGCGGACGGCGCTGCCAAGAGCGACCTCATGGTTTTCAGCCCCAACTTCCCTCCGCCGCCGCCCGGCCCTGCAGCCAAGGACACGCAGCCGGAGCCCTCCGCCCTCCTCGACACGGTCAGTGGCAATACTTTTTTCTCCTTCATCCCTTCTCTGGTGGTTCTTCCTCTGTCTGCCAGTCTCTCCCGCCCCTTGTGCAGTTGCTCCTTGGCGCCGAGCTCCGCCCCTCGGGCTGTTGGCGGTCGATGCTTGGCGAGTGCTTCAGGGGTTCAGGATGTGAATCCTAGCTTTTCATCTGACCCTGGTTCTACCCGGCTCTTGCTCGTGTTCTGAGGTTATTAGGGTGATGGAATGGAAATAAATGCGTTAGCGCACCGTTCAACGCCCATTGTCCGTAGGTTTGGTTTGTGTTCTGGGTGTGAATTCTCCCGTAGAATGAAATCCTTGTCCCTTGCGATAAGAGGTGTCAGCTTTGAAGAAATGCGCATATTCTCTGGTGGGTAGCGTTTTCACTGGACCTTATTTCATGAGTGTAAAGACATGCAGGCTGTGGTGTTCACATTTCCCCGGAATTGATGGATAGTCCTGTGTTTAGGTTTTATTTCCTAATGAAAATTGACCTCTTCCTCTTTGATTCTGCTCACCAATATGTTAATGCAAGGTGAAAATTGAGACTTTTTAGTTTTGTCAGGCAATGGAAGGATAAACCGTCCAATTTGGTTGTAACGCTAGAGACATTATGAAACGACAAGATGTGGTGAGCCCTTCCTGTGATCTGTTCCCAAGGATCTTGTTACTCTGCTTAGAAATATTGTCTTCTGAGTGAAGTGTTTTCTCCAAGGGTAAGTGTTAGAAAGTGGAATTTTCTTTTCCTTTCTCCCCTGTTCCTCAGGTTGTGAATGCACTTTTCTGACCAGAGAACTAGTAGGAAATACCATGCAGTCTTTTGATGTTCTATCAAAATTCATATCAACACCAGCATCACTTCAAAAGCTGTACAAATAACCTTTTATGAAAAGAAAGCAAACAAACAATCCAGATAATTACCCCTACCAACAAAACCCAAACCAATTTCTCCTACACATTCAGTATAATCCATTATGGTGTTGTGCTTGTCAGTGTTTTGGTTGTTATCTCAGTGCATGTAATGAGGGGTGAGTGCCATCTTTGTGCACTCGACTTCTACTTTTTGTGGACTTGGACCTGGTAGAGATGATGTGTCCTGTTGTCACCCATGGCTCTGCAAACCGTGCACAGCAGCCCAGCTCAAGATTTCTGCAGTACAAATTCTCTGTGTGTAATTTGTTTGAGTGCTTGTGCTACATTATTTGGTGTGGTTCTCTTGAAGAACAAAATCCACGTATGCTGACTTCCCTCATGTTCTGATCACAGAATCTCTAAGAATTCTAATGTGCAGCTCTGTGCTATTTTCATGTGAGGTTGTGAAAAAGAAGCAAAGTGTTCACGGTAAATTTCATGCAGGTGGGAAGAGCCTGCTGAAGGCTGTGTAGTTTTGAAGAGTTTCACATGTTCTTTGTGCTGATCATGAGGGAAGGTGAAGTGGTGCCAAGGCTTAGATGCTATACAGACTGTGATTTACAGATGGGACATATTGCTGGAGCTGAGAAATGTTTGATAGGTTAGCAGGGATTCCTCGAATGGCATCAGGTAGGGCCTGGACCTGTACGGTGGGGAGGGGGAGTTTGAGTGGGGAAGTGTGTTGCCTCAGGGGAACAGAGATGCTGAGTAGAACGTGGTCTGTGTCATTGTGGATGAAATGGAGAATGTTTGCTTAGGTGTAGAGGCCTCATTTCCAGTGGCACAGCATAGAGGATGCCAGTGGAAAACATGGAGAAAAAGCCCAGCACACAGGGCTGCTCTTCTGGGATCTTCTCAGGACGTCCAGCAGGTCTGGACATCCTTGAGCTTTGTTGTTTTATGTGATGTTAGTGCTTGTAAAAGTGCCTGCAATGCACGCCTTTAATTGCTTGTCTTTGTTGTGGAAAGTTGTTGGACTTTCGAAATTTTCAAAATTTGTGTAAAGTTTCAAAAGCTTTCTGAAATTTGTGTAATTGTGCCAGCCTTCTCAGAATGTTGCCTGAGCAATTCCTCTGATCTTGGTGTAGCTAGGGAGGGGAAGAAGTGCTCTCTGTATTCAAGATGTTGTCAGACCTGGCATTTCAGGTACAGTGGGACACATTACTTTGTTTTCTTCCCCTACACTCACCTTTTTTTCTTCTCTCACATTGGCAATGTGTAACAGTGGATGAGATGCAGATGGTGAAATACTGGCAGTTGTCAGGTGGCAGATGTTTAGACAGTAATCCATTGGTCCTGGGGAAAGTTTTTCCACTCTCTCGAGCTGAGGCTGCTGTTGAGAGAATATTGCTAACTTTCAGGTGTCCCTCCCGCTTCCCTGGTGATAGAAGTGCAAAAGGAAGTACTACTCACTGTGTCCCTGTTTTTCAAAGCTCTTGGTGAATGTATTTTTTTTCTGTTCAGTATGCTGCAAAATTACATTCTTAGGGTATAATGTCCCTTAAAACCAAATCTCCTGTTCTGAAAATATTTCTTTTTTTTTCGGAAGATGACACCAGTGATGCTACAGGTAAGTCACTTGTACCTGAAGGGGCTGTATGTGAGAGACAAATGTACTTTGGTTCCTGCTCAGCTGTGGTGTCTTCATGTTGGATAGACTGGAGCATTGTCTATCCAGACTGGATGTTGCCTGGATTGAAATGCCTGTAGGTTTGGAGCACCACTGTCTGCTCTCATTTCTTTCCTGTTGCTGCCTGGCATGGGGTGAGCGTGTGGAAGCAAGGACAGATGGAGAAATTACCTTAATGCCTTTCTTGGATTAGATGCATTTGGAATGCAGCAGATTTTCTCAGTGACAATGCAGTGGTGTTCCCCTGGTTGCTTTTAGTTGGCTGTGCAGGTGGAACATGAGTCATAGAGAAAAACCCTTGATTATATTGGTAGAATACACGAGGTATATGAAAAATGTTTGGGTGCTGTGTTTGCCAAGAGTTTTGTAGCATTCTTGGATCATTGGTGTGCTGGGCTGTGATGGCTTTGAGAATGAAAAACTCTCTTGAGTTGTTTGTGATATTTGGTGCACCTTTTAATTACACATCCCAGTAGCTGGGGTTGGTGATTCTGTTCCCGAGGGTACAAGAGTGATGGGGAAAAAACCAAAAGGAAATTGAGGAATCGATGCAAAGAAGAATGAGAGCCCTTTCAAAAAGACATTTACATCCATCATCACCAACAAGCTGTAGACATTTGGAAAGTCTTTTCGTACAGGTGGAAAATAATAATAGAGAGACAAGGATGGGAAAGAACAGGAAGTGAAGTAAAAAGAGCAGGAAAGAAGACATAGGGAAGGAGAACTAGAAAATAGAAAAGACAGAAAAGGGAAGAGGTAAAGAAAACAGCATAAGGAGGTGAAGATGAACATTAAAAAGAAAGGAGGGAATCCATGCAAGTGCGAACCAAGCAAGCAAGTGGGCAAAAAGAACAGAAGACACTATAAAGGACCAGCACTCACCGAATTTGTCTCTCGAGGCTGAACGGAGCTGGTCCCTAACAGCCTCACCCCTGGTGAGAGCAGCACTTTCTGGACCTGGTGCTCCGTAATTATCGCTGATCACTCTGGCTTTGATGGTCTCAGAAGGGGCGCCGGAAGCGGCTGGAGACCTGCCAGCGAGGGTGAAGACGAGAGGAAGATGGAGAAAGAAGGAACGGGGAAGAAAGAAGAAAGAAAAGTATAAAAGAGCAGAAAGAGGCAGAAAAGTGAAGAGAAAATAAAAATCATTCAATACAGAAAATTGGAGGAAAAAAGAAATATATGGGAAGAAATTCAGACGAGAAAGAAGAAAGAAATACTTACAAGAACACAGTAGGCGATTAGGAAAAACAATAAAAGAAAGAGGAGCAGCGTAACACGAAAAAGCAGAAGAGATGGTCTTAATGGAGCGGAGGCACAGGCGCTGTCACGGAGCGTGCGAGGCGGCGGAGCAGCGCACGGTGTCGCTGCAGGCTCAGGAACGGCTCGGTGTGGGCGGCTCCGCCCCGGTGCGGCGGAGAGCCCGGCTGTGAGCGCGGGGGGGCGGCTCGGGCCGGGCAGCAGAGGCGGCGCGTCCGGGCGGCGGCGGGGAGCCGTGCGGGGCCCGGGCCGGGGCCGGCAGGCAGAGCGGCGGCGGCGGCGGCGGGCGGAGCGGCAGGAAGGATGGGCGAGCGTTGTTGTGCGGCGCTGGTGCGGGTGCTGGTGCTGCAGGCGGCCTGGGCGCTGTCGGGCGGGCAGGTGCGCTACTCGGTGCCGGAGGAAGCCAAGGCCGGCACGGTGGTGGGCCGTCTGGCGCAGGACCTGGGCCTGGAGGCGGGCGAGGCGGAGGCGCGGCGGCTGCGGCTGGTGGCGCAGGGCCGGCGGGCGAGCGTGGAGGTGAGCGGGGCGAGCGGCGCGCTGCTGGTGAGCTCGCGGCTCGACCGGGAGGAGCTGTGCGGCAAGAGCGCGCCGTGCGCGCTGCGCCTGGAGGTGCTGCTGGAGCGGCCGCTGCGCGTCTTCCATGTGCAGCTGGAGGTCACCGACATCAACGACAATGCCCCCGTCTTCCCCGCCGCCCGGAAAAACCTCAGCATCGCGGAATTTACCACTCTGCCGGGGTCTCGTTTCCCGCTGGAGGGCGCGTCGGATGCGGATATCGGAGCGAACGCGCAGCTCTCCTACACTCTTAGCCCCAGCGAATATTTTACACTCGATGTTAAATCGTCGGATGAAAACAGAAAGTCTCTGTTTCTGGTACTCTCAAAGTCTTTAGACCGTGAGACGATTCCCGTGCACCGGTTGGTGCTGACGGCGACTGACGGGGGCCGGCCGTCTCTGACCGGGACAATGGAGCTGGTGATCTCGGTGGAGGATGCCAACGACAACGCGCCCCAGTTCAACCAATCCGTGTATAAAGTGCAGATACCAGAGAATGCTACAGAGGGGACGCTCGTAGTACGTGTGAATGCCACGGATCCGGACGAAGGAAGCAATAAGGAGTTTTCTTACAGCATCTTGAGTTCGACACCGATCGGTAACAAAGAACTCTTTACTATTGACACCAAGACGGGCGAGATCAGACTGAAGGGTTGTTTGGACTTTGAAGACGTTCGTTTACATGAATTGCAAATCGAAGCGAGAGATAAAGGGACGCCCGCGCTGTCGGGGCACTGCAGCGTGGAACTGAAGGTGCTGGACGTGAACGACAACGCTCCGGAGGTGTGGGTGACGTCGCTGTCGGTGCCAGTGGCGGAGGACGCGTCGGTGGGGACGGTGGTGGCCCTGCTGAGCGTGTCGGACCGGGACTCGGGGGAGAACGGTCGCGTGCGGTGCTGGGTGTGGCCGGCGTCGCCGTTCGGTCTGGAGGCGACGTTCTTGGGCTCGTACTCGCTGGTGCTGCGCGAGGCGCTGGACCGGGAGCGGGTGTCGGAGTACGAGGTGGAGGTGCGTGCGGAGGACGGCGGGGCGCCGGCGCTGCGCGCCAGGCGCGGGCTGCGGGTGCCGGTGTCGGACGTGAACGACAACGCGCCCTTGTTCGCGCAGGCCGTGTACACGGTGCTGGCGCGGGAGAACAACGCGGCGGGCGCGGAGCTGGCGCGGCTGTGGGCGCGGGACCCGGACGAGGCGGCCAACGGGCGCGTCAGCTACTCGGTGTGGGACGGCGGCCTGGGCGTGGGCGGGGCGGCGGGGTCGTCGTCGTCGTCGGGTGGCATGGGGTGGCGTCCGGCGTCGAGCTACGTGTCGGTGGACGCGGAGAGCGGGCGCCTGTGGGCGCTGCAGCCCTTGGACTACGAGGAGCTGCAGGTGCTGCAGTTCGAGGTGCGCGCGGTGGACGCGGGGGAGCCAGCGCTGAGCGGCAACGCCACGGTGCAGCTGTTCGTGCTGGACGAGAACGACAACGCGCCGGCGCTGCTGCCGGCCGCGGGCTCGGCAGCGGAGGCGGCGGCGGCGGCGCTGGCGGGGGCGGGCTCGGAGTCGGGCACGCTGTGGGCGTGGGCGGCGTGGGGGGCGCCGGCGGGGCAGGTGGTGGCCAAGATCCGTGCCGTGGACGCCGACTCGGGCTACAACGCGTGGCTGCGCTACGAGCTGTGGGAGCCGCGGGGCAAGGGCCCGTTCCGCGTGGGGCTCTACAGCGGCGAGGTGAGCACGGCGCGGGCGCTGGACGAGGCGGACGGGCCTCGCCAGAGGCTGCTGATCGTCGTGCGCGACCACGGCGAGCCGGCGCGCTCGGCCACGGCCACGCTCAGCGTGTCACTGCTCGAGGCCGCCGAGGCGGCGCTGGCCGCGGGCTCCTCGGCGGCGTCGTCGTCGTCGTCGTCCGCGGTGTCGCGCTCGGCGGCGGGCGCGGAGCTGGGGCCCGGCGCGGCGAGCGCGGCCACCAACGTGTGGCTGGTGGTGGCCATCTGCGCCGTGTCCAGCCTCTTCCTGCTGGCCGTGGTGCTGTACGGGGCGTCGCGCTGGGCGCCGCGGGCGGCCGTGCTCTCGGGGCCCGGGCCCACGACGCTCGTGTGCGCCAGCGAAGTGGGCAGCTGGTCCTACTCGCAGCGCCACAGCCGCAGCCTGTGCGTGGCGGACGGCGCTGCCAAGAGCGACCTCATGGTTTTCAGCCCCAACTTCCCTCCGCCGCCGCCCGGCCCTGCAGCCAAGGACACGCAGCCGGAGCCCTCCGCTCTCCTCGACACGGTCAGTTTTCCTTCCTTCATTCCCTTCTCTGCTCCTTTTTATCCGCCGTCTGACTTGATGCTGCTTTTAGCTGGCTCATTTCCCGCGGCTTACTGATATTGGTTACTTATCTGGTCTTCAAGAATGACAGTGACACGTTTGCATCTGTCACCGTGACCTTGCTTTGGCCCCCAGCTGTTTCTAGGGGTGTACAGAATATAGATAAATCAGCATCCGTGAGCAGTTTCTGTAGGCAGGTGAGGTTTGGTCCCCTAAATGTGAGTTGTTCTGCTGTAGAATAAAATTACTTTTCTGTGCGACAAGAGGTGCGCGGTGGTGTGAGATTTGCAGGCAGCAAGGGGTTTCTATTTCTCATGTGTAGCATTTCCACCCCATTTGGGTGAATGAGTTCAAGACATCCAGGCTGTGTTGGTGACAGACCCGCAGGCACTGTGTACCAGCTCCATGCTTTTGCTGACTGAATAACCGTGCTGGTTTTCATTTGTCTTTTTTATTGAAAACTGCCCTCCTCGTCTGTATTTATGGTCATGTGAAGGTACGATGCAAGGTGTATAGTGGATATTCAAGGACAAAAATTCTCTATTACCATTCTACTATGAGACTCATTTAGAAAATAGGGTAGCTGTGGAAAGATTTCCTATGATCTTTCTATGTTTGTTTGGCAAGTATCATGCTGTTCTGCTTAGTATAAAGTGTGATCCAAGGTATGTGTTTCAAAAGGGAAATTCATCTGTTGTTTTTGTGCTGCCCAGTTCCTGAGGATTTGCATTTCTGACCAGCGAGGTAGTGTGAAGTATACTGTCCTTTTTTGATGTTCTCTCAAAATTTGCATCAAATATCATAGCAATGATCAAGACTTAAAAGGACTTTAACTGTGGAAATCTTCATTTCTGTAATGAACAGATAAACAAATAGCCCGCAAAATCCAAGGATCATCTTTCCCCACCAATTCTCAAGTAACATTCTCCAAGACAGGCAGTATCATCTATTAGAGTAGTGTCCTTGTCACAGTTTTGCTTCTTGGAGCACAAAATCAAACTCATTGCTGTTTAGAGGTTCCAACGCCACCTTTGATAATAGTATTCCCATAGAGAAGCATTACAAAGCATGAGTTGTCAGCAGCAGAGCATCTCTTATACACTGTGTTGATGGTACCATCCGTGGATTTTTACAGTGTGTCATTGCTGGGAAGGATAAGCCATTGTCATGTTGAACCTGTGGTAGGAAAGGAAACTGTGCTCTGTTGTATAGTGTAGGGCCTGGGCCTTTTCTGATTGGAAGGGTGACCATGAGCAGCAGAAAGACTTGTGTGGGGAAAGTGAAAATCCTTGGGGATACCATGGATCATATTAGAAAATATCATGAGGTTATATATTTGTCTTCAGAACACGTCTCAGAGTGGGTGAGTGAAGGATTTGTACAGGAAAGGGTGACAGGATGAGAACAGAGTGTTTTTGTTGAGGATGTTTTCCTGCTTCCTATGGGTCTGGAGTGGGAGGTCCTCCTGGTAAAGAGATGAGAGTGTGATACTGAAATGCCCCCAGCGTCCCTTGCAGTGAGGAGTCTCTCCACCAGGGACTGTCTCTGCTGCTGCTGCCTGCCTGGTGTAGGCCATGTGTTGGTAAGTGTGGGAATCCTTAAAATCAGAGGATTTTGGGAAAAATGCAAAAGGCAGGCCTCAGAGACAACAGAACTGTGATTATAGCTAAGCAGTAGCCATGAGATTTGTCAGCAGAAAAATTATATAAGAAGTGGAAAAGTAAGGCCAAACAGAACAGTGGTCTGTGTATTAACGCTTGTCTAGAATAACTCCCTAAGCTACAGAAAAGTTTATCTAGTGAGATATTAGGAAGTTCTAAGCTTAATAATGGAGCTCTGTGCATTGTGTTTTTTAGGCTTACAAGCAGGTCTTGTATTCGAAATAAGCAAGCATTGTTTAACCAAAGGGACATGTGCTTATAGTGGTTGGATGTAGCTACCGTCAATGTGCTTTTGCTTTGTGTGATTGGTCAAAAAACTTTTAAAGTAAGTTGTAACATTAAGTTCTTTGACTGCTGTCTGGAATGTGAGCTGCTGGCATCTTCCCATTGTCATAACCATGGAATGAGAGTGATGCTGGAAAATCAAACAGCTCGAGATGCGTTCCCCAGCAGTCCCGTCCTGTTCGTGATTTGTACAGAGACCCCCAGCCAGTGACAGTAAGAGCTGGTGAGATGGAGAGTGCTGAATGTTGTCTGATGAAACAACTTTTTCAGGTTCAAGGTTTCAAGGTGTTGTGGGAGGGGAATGCTTCAAGTTGCTATCCTTGTGTAATAATCTCTACAGCTGTAGATTTTGCCATGATGATTCCTTGCTCCTCCTCAGGTGGGATTTAGAAGGATTTATTTTATTATTACATGTGGCTGTAAGGGTTGATGTGCTCAACTTTCTTTACTTGTGCACTGCACAAGTGGCCTCAGTAGAGATGGTGTGTCCTGATGTCACATGTGGATCATTCTCATATCTGCAAGAACACCCCAAAACCTGCATGATTTGCCCAGTTCATCCTGTGCAAGCTGTCCCATGTGCTTGACCCTGTGAGTGCTCTTGTGCTTTGGCACTTGCTGTGTTCTCTTGAAGAAATAAATCTGTGTGGACTGGGATCAGAGCTGTAACAGCTCTAATCACAGAATTTTTATGAACTCCAACTTGCAGCTCTGTGGCAATTCCAACTGAGAGTACTGAATGGGAGCAAAGCATTCACGGTGAAGATCATGTAGCTGGGAAGAGATTTTAGATATTGTGTGCATCTTTTGTGGTGACCATGAAGGAAGATGAGGAAGTACAAGGGCCTGGATCACATGCAGAGTGGGATTTACAGGGAGGGCATGTTGCTGGGGTTGAGTAATGTTTGCTATTTTGCCAGTGATCCTGCGTGTGGCACGAAATTAGGCCTGGGCCTGTGTGATGGGGAGGGTGAATTTGAGTGGGGAGGAATGTTACCCCAGGGAAAGGCAGATGCTGAGTAGAACACGACCTGCAGCATTGTGGAGAACGCCTGGTTAGCTGTGGAGATCTCATTTCCTTGGCCTCGTGACAGAGGATGCCAATAGAAATCCTTGAGAAAATGCCCACCACATAGTGCTGCTCTTCTGGGATCCTCTCAGGACCTCCAGCAGTTCTCTGTATTCTTGTTTTCTGTTGTTCCCTGTGATATTACAGCTTATGAAGTAACTTGCCATCCATGCCTTGAATCACTTGAGTTGGATATGGAATTTTCTTGGTAAAAGAGAAGACTTTTTGAAATTTGTGTCATTCTGCCAGCCTTTCTTGGGACATGGCATCAGTCATTTCCCTGATCTTGGTCTTCTAGCTGGCACTAAGGGACACTGTCCATTAAAACAAGTACTCCTGGTCCTGGAGTTTCTTTTTCTGAAGAAGCACCCAGTGATGCTACAGGTGAGTTACTCCCACCAGAAGAGGCTGTGTGTGAGAGAGAGCTGTACTTTGGTTCTTATGATGCCTTAAGTTTTAGCTTTACTGATATATTTTTCCAAGTTTTCCAGATTCTGTATGGCATTTTTCTTATTGATCAGATTCTGTACTGCATTGGTCTATAACTCTGAACTTTATATAAAGTGTTAGGAAGTTCTCCTCAAAGTTCACTCAGACAAAACAATCCTTTTCCAACCCCAGAACCAACAACACTGTTGCAGGATCCAGCCCAAGAAGTGCAACCAGCAGTGAATTGAGGAGAGCAATGTGGGAGGATGGGACTGCATAACCTGAAGCTGTAATTGGACAGTCAACCCCAATATTTAAATGGACCAAAACTTATAGAAGTGAAAACTTGTGACCCATCACCCATCTTGGGTGTATCCTCAGTAGGGCTCCTGTACTGCCCAAGGTGCATCCTTTGAAGGCCTTTTAATAAATTCCTACTTTATTCCTTTAGCACTGTCCAGCCCCTGTTCTAGGTAGCCTCTCAAGGCATCACCTGTTCAACTGTGGTATCTTCACATTGGATGAACTAAATATTGCCTGAATGGAAATTCCTGTAGGTCTGGAGCACATTATGTGCTCCCACTTGATTTTGCTGCTTCCTGCACAGGGTGAGAAGAGGGAAGGAAAGGCAGATGGAGAAATGACCTCAATGCTTTTCTAGGAGTAGATGTGCTGGGCATGCAGAGGATGCTTTCAGTGACAGTGCTGTGGTGAATTTTGTGATAGCTCTGCAGGTGAAAAATGAGTCAGGCAGAATTGCTCTCCATCGAGTTAAATGAGGAATGTGGTGTCATCATGCTTTTTTTTTTTTTTTGCAGTGTTCTTGGAGGATTATCATGGTGGACTCTGATGGGTTTGATTTTGTAGATGAGAGACTCCCTTGATAACTGGGTCTCTGGACCCTTTTTTGTATTAGATGTCTGAATGGGTGGACTCTTCTCTGATGTAACAAAGCTGTTCTTTACTATATGATTGCTTTGTTGATTTATTTCTTGGGTCCTTGAGATGACTGAAGGCTCCAAACATGGATTGGATCCTGAAGGGAGAGGAAGCTGCAGGTGCATGGAATGGGAGGAAAGCAAGAAGGCTATTCCCTGTCCTAGGTAGAGAGGTAGAGGGGGAGTGTCCTGTTGCTAAAGCATGTTGGTGCTTCATGGTGTGATGGTGTAGCTATTTTAAAAACATTTCCTTAAGGGGAAAATACACAATAGAAGATACAAGGATGGCAAACACAGACGAGGGGAGGGAAAGACTTGACAGCGAGGAGAGAAAGAAAAAGCAAAGAAAAAACAAGATAAAACGGAATAAGAAAAAGGAGAAAGAAGTGGAAAAAAAGAAGCAATGGAAGGAATCGTTGCAAGGAAGAAGAATGAGAACATTATTCAAAGGACTTGTTCATTGCTAGTATTATATAAACATTTGGAAAGAATATTAATAAAGGAAATAGAAGAATGTAAGAGATAAGGAAAGAAAATGAGAAAGAGGAAGAAAAAATATGACTGTTAAGAGCATGAAGAAGACATAGTGAAAGACAACCCGGAAATAGAAGGGAAAGAGAGAAAAAAAGAAGAGAAAGAATAGCAGAAGAAAATGAAAGAGAAAAGGATATATCAAGGAAGGCGACTCTACAAGAAAATCGTAAGACAGAAAGGGAGCAAGGAAGTAACAGAGAAAGAAGAGAATGGAAATAAAAAGAAGGAACATAAAGAACCCGATCAGCAGGCACCGACCTTATCTTTACACGCTGAGAAGCGCTGCTCCGGAACAGCCTTGCCCCGGCGCTGATAGACCATAATTGGCACTCGTAGGTGTGACTTTGATGGTCTCCGCCGCGGCGCAGGAGGCAACTGGCGAATTACCGAAGGGGGTAAAGAAGAGCGAAGAGAAGAAAGGAAGGTAAAATGGTTAAAGATTAGGGCAGGACAATAAAGGAAAAGGACAATGTGGAGAGATACCAATAGAGAAGAACAGGAAGACTAAAAAGGAAAGAGTAGGGAAGGGAAAGGCAAACCGATGAAAACTAGAGAATAAACGGATGGAAGAAAGGAAGGAGAAGAGGAGCGAAAGAAATTAAACGATGTAAGCAAATAGCAAACGATAAAGAAAAAGAGATAAGAAAAATAAGAGGAGCACAAATGAGGAAACAGCAGAGGAGATGGCCATGAAGGAGCGGAGGCACAGGAGCTGTCACGGAGCGTGCGAGGCGGCGGAGCAGCGCACGGTGTCGCTGCAGGCTCAGGAACGGCTCGGTGTGGGCGGCTCCGCCCCGGTGCGGCGGAGAGCCCGGCTGTGAGCGCGGGGGGGCGGCTCGGGCCGGGCAGCAGAGGCGGCGCGTCCGGGCGGCGGCGGGGAGCCGTGCGGGGCCCGGGCCGGGGCCGGCAGGCAGAGCGGCGGCGGCGGCGGCGGGCGGAGCGGCAGGAAGGATGGGCGAGCGTTGTTGTGCGGCGCTGGTGCGGGTGCTGGTGCTGCAGGCGGCCTGGGCGCTGTCGGGCGGGCAGGTGCGCTACTCGGTGCCGGAGGAAGCCAAGGCCGGCACGGTGGTGGGCCGTCTGGCGCAGGACCTGGGCCTGGAGGCGGGCGAGGCGGAGGCGCGGCGGCTGCGGCTGGTGGCGCAGGGCCGGCGGGCGAGCGTGGAGGTGAGCGGGGCGAGCGGCGCGCTGCTGGTGAGCTCGCGGCTCGACCGGGAGGAGCTGTGCGGCAAGAGCGCGCCGTGCGCGCTGCGCCTGGAGGTGCTGCTGGAGCGGCCGCTGCGCGTCTTCCATGTGCAGCTGGAGGTCACCGACATCAACGACAATGCCCCCGTCTTCCCCGCTCCCCGAAAAAACCTCAGCATCGCGGAATCATTGGTGCCGGGGTCTCGTTTCCCGCTGGAGGGCGCGTCGGATGCGGATATCGGAGCGAACGCGCAGCTCACGTACACACTCAGCCCCAGCGAGCATTTCTCTCTGGATTTACAGAAATCGAATGAGCGAAATATTGAGCCTGAACTCGTTTTAACGAAATCTCTGGACCGCGAGACGATTCCCGTGCACCGGTTGGTGCTGACGGCGACTGACGGGGGCCGGCCGTCTCTGACGGGGACAATGGAGCTGGTGATCTCCGTAATGGACGTGAACGACAATGCGCCCCAATTCAATCAGTCCGTGTATAAAATGCAGCTACCGGAGAGTGCTGAGGTGGGGAGTCTGGTAACGAGGGTGAATGCCACGGATGCGGACGAGGGAATTAACAGTGAAGTGACTTATGCTGTGACGAATTTCATTCCCCCGAGTGGAAGAGATGTGATTTCCATCAATCCGAATACCGGGGAAATTCACCTCACAGCAGCCCTAGACTTTGAAGAAGTCAGTGTATTTGATTTTCGTATTGAAGCAAAAGATAAGGGAACGCCCTCTCTGTCGGGTCACTGCAAGGTGGTGCTGGAGGTGCTGGACGTGAACGA